TAAATTTCAAATTCATGTAAAGAATATACTTGTGAGTAAAGGCTATTATAAAGTTGATGATTATTTTAAGGATCGCAATGCATGGAATTAATAGCCTTCGCTTTGTTCTATAAAGACTAATTATATGTTCAACTTATGTCCTACAGACTTTGAAAATTGTATTTACTATTGTGATAAATTGATAATACATATTATTTTGGCAATGACATGATTTATGTAAATGTCATTACTTATGATAAAAAGCTGATAAGTTTCTTTCGCTTGTTCTTCTTGTCAGCTAAAAGACGCCCTGAACAAGTGGTAGGGGAAAAAAGTTTTTTGGACGATTCAAAAGTGCTTGTAATAGCCTACTTGAATAAAGATATTTTCATTTCATTAAATTAATGAATGCATTTAAATTGATATTGATATAATGTAAATTAAAAAATATACACAAGATAAAGTAGAATTTTCAAAGAAATATATGAACATATTGTCAATGATAATAAGAGATATAAGATGGCGCATTGAGCGAGACTTTGATTTCGCAGTTGTTAAGCTAAGTAACTTGCACAATGGCTCGTCACAGGATGGGTGACCAAAATTTTAATAGAATTTAACTCCTGCGTGCCTCGAAAGGCAAGTTAAGCTGTTAGTATTGGCTGCATCTGTCGTCGTCAACACCCATCAATCCTTCTTGGTCCGCGTGGTGGGCCTATTCTTCCTATTTGATTTAATTTCATCTAAAGGAATGGCTGAGCCCCCTCTGTGGGGTCTCTGTGGGGTCTCTGCGGGGAGATGATGATATATAGCGTTGAAAATACTCACAAACCGTTACAATTAAGAATATTTTAAGAATTTTTCTTTAAGATAAATATCAATATAGCATTGTGGATGCAAATATAGACTGAATATGGTTTAGGCGCTCTCTTAAGAATTAGGGTAAGCGTTGAGAAGGCTCTTTCCTCCCTCAACATTCGTGGCGTCTGCGTCGAGATGGATGGCGACTGCTCCCTTCCTTCCGGGGAGGGCTTTCGAGTTAAGGAGACCGTGAAATAGGTAAATAGTGACTTCATTTAGTACGCACTCTGAATTATAACGTAATAAATGTTTTGTTTGTCTAAATAATTCTGTTGAATATTTAATAGTTTTAAGATAGGAAAATAAACTAGCATGCATGTTTCAATAAATTACTAAAACTAGTGTCGTAAACACAAGACAAAAGCAATTTCTTTCATAAAATTTAATATATTATAATATCCGAATAATTATAGTTAATATACTGAAACATGAAAGTCAGCGCGTTTTGTTTCGCCCTTTATTACGTTTCTTATAATCTCTTCTATTCATAATTTTGCCGTTTGTTTTACTGTTGGCGATAAGCTCTTATCATCAAAGTAAATTTCGTTGAATGTCTTATATCGTTTTAGAATAATGTGAAAATGATTATTGTACATATTAAAATTGGGATTCGATGTTACATTTTATGGTCCAAATGCATACTTCTATTTTACTGAATTATTAATGTTAGTGGGTGGGAGCTTTCCGGCTTTTGTAAACTGAAACTACCTAAACAATAGAAACAGGTAAGGATGGCAATCATACCCCGTCTATACATGCGGTCACCGCCATCGACATTCTGAGGGGTCGTACATATAATCATGTTATGGCACAGCAACGTGATATTGAAATTAAGGTGTTGTGTCGTGGGTGTGTGATCACGTCAAGTTAAATAAAGATAAAAGTGTTAGAATTACAGGAAAGCCTAGTATATGATTTATAAAATTCTAGCTTTTGAACGCGACTTCATCCGCGTGGTAAAGTTGTCATAGTTTCATACAAACTTTCATCCCCTATTTTATCTCCTTGGGGCTAGTATTAAGCAAAATCCTTTCTTAGCGAATGCCTACGTCATAACATCTGCCTGCATGCCAAATTTCAGCCTGATCCGTCCAGTGGCTTGGGCAGTGCGTTGATAGATCACTATATGCAACGCGTCACGCTATTGTCAACACGCCGTTGCGTTTTTGCCACAGTCGCATTTGTTATTGAATATTCAGACAAATATGACATTGAAGTCGATTCATAGCGAGTTTAGTCAAGTTGCATCGTGTGCTATGGGACAAAACATCAAGAACACGCATAGTTTGGTCCATTTTTCGATGGTACATATCTACGGCATGCGGAGGCAGATCTGCAATGAATGACGAAACGCAAGCTCACTTGAAATGTGTAACATATACCCTGCCACATTACCCTAGGGCAGTTAGATAGATTACGTGAGATGCTCCTCTGCAGAGCTACCAAGAACACAAAGCCAAAAACCGGGGTATACGTAACCACTAAAATACTGTTATATCCCTTTCTCTTCAAATTGATCCGACTGTCGGATCTGACTGGCGTGTAGAGAAATCTGCCGTCGGCATTAATCGTAAAAAAGTAAAAATAAAGTGTCTCCGTGCACGGTTCGTTTGTGTGAATCTCTTCCGCGGGGGTGATGCCCCCCACCCTCGCATAACATTGGACAAGTACCTACTAACCGTGGCGGCACTCAAAAAAACTCGGTCAAAAGTAATCTTTTAGCAATTTGTCACGGGCGAAAAGTGTTTTACAATTTTTTCGGCGAATCGAGAATGCTATGTTTTATGGTTGTTCGGGATTTAAGTTGGTGTTACGTGCGGATGTGGAAGTGAAACTTTTTTTATCTTACAGTTTGAAATCAGCGTTCACAGTAATTCGTTGCAATTAAAATAGAGTACACGTCCCAAGCGTTGCGCGGGTACTTTCACGGGAACCATATTGTAGTATTATAGATTTATAGATAATTAATAATATTATATGATGTATTAATAGTTGTTAAAGAGAACACGTTTTAGAGCAGGACTTAATTTAAGTTGTTATAATTTTGAACGATAATTTTTACAACAACCATAATTTCGTGATAATTAAATTTATATAATTTAATTACACCCAGTTGCACAAACTTAAGGTTTAATGACGACTTTAAACTACCATGTTTTTTTTTACAGTGTCACTAATTTAATGACAATTTTATTGGACGTTTGTGTAACTGGGCGTTAATATCGTAACTTTTTTACCAAAATTACACATCTGTAGTAATTCTAGCCTAAACTGGTTCTTGAACCGCACCGATAAGCCTCTTAAGCGAATCGTGTGAAGAACGTCGACTTAAATACATATTTTTAGGTATCGTTATTCAGTAGCATGCAATGATAGTGATAAAGCGGTGTTGTTGAGAATCAGACTGTAATAATATTCTTTTCTTATACTGTGGAGGTGAGTAGATCATTTATAAATTAAATTATTTGCTAGAATGTTCAGAACGTTGAGTCCATGGTAATAACTGTAAATCTATGACATCTAGTTGAATTTTTTACAGATGATATACGTTATTTAATATACGTACATCAATTTGCCCTAGATTCTCTTGCGATTGGGCAAATTTGTATTGCACAAAATTATTTACGACTATAAAGTTTAAAGTATCTTTAGTTTTTATAAAAAGTTTATATACAAACCTCTTTTATTCTATTTTAAATGTTATTAAGAAAAACAAAAGAAAAAACAAAATACGGCGGCAAAATTTTTAGTGATTCGTTATTACAAGAAAAACTAAAATTGTTTTGTTGAAATTAATTTAAGAAAAGGGATTTTTTTTTCACGTTTGATTGAAACTCATACGTCATGTCGTCATTTGAGTCGAGATGAAATGTTACGAGCTGTGGGCAATATACTATACACCAGCCAAAATGGTCACGTTATCGCAGTACTGGAGAGGGGGTTAAACGGCACACGGGTAGATATCGCGTTACTACGCAGATATATCATCCATTTCTCCAAATGACCATCAGAAGACAACCTAATATTACTGCGATCCAACAAGTATAGAGGCTCCAGGAGGACCACCAGCTGTTGGTAAGCGACCAAACCGTGTAAAGGAGGTTGCATGAAATTGGTCTTCATGCTCGAAAATCGCTACGTGTTCCAGCATTATGACGTGGCACTTGCGGTGCAGCGGTTTCGTGGGCTCGGGAGCATTTACCATAGAGTGACGAACCTTTGGTACTGTTCACCGATGAGTCCCGGTATGGGTTTCATCCGGATTCACAAAGAACGCGGGTTTGGAGAACTGCAGGAAGAGTTAGCTGTCTATGGCACCGTCAAGAGGTCCATTCATACCAAGGCGGAACAATCATGGTGTGGGCAGGAATTCGTCTTACCGCCCAACTGCCCAAAGTATTATGAGGAGGTAGTAGAGCCTGTTATTGTTGCACACAGAATCCAAAAGGGCTAGGAATTTTTTACTCATGCACGACAATGCTCTTTCTCATACGACGCGGCTGGTGTCGGCTGCTCTCCGAGACCAGGATATGTTTTACATTAGCCTGCACAGTCGCCCAACTTGAATCCTATCGAACATGCCTGGGACATGTTACAACGAAAGGTCATGAGAGATTTTCCGCTAAATTTAGTGAGGGAAGACCAACTTTTCGAACAATTGCAAAGAACATGGGACCTTATACCGCTGCAAGACATTGACATTTTATTTTAATGAATAACCGATGTCGGTGTGTTATTAATTTAAGACGTGGCAACACTGACTATCAATAATTAAATTTTATAACATTTTTTCAATTAGAATTGAAATTTATAGTTTTATACGAAGAAATTTTTTGAGATTTTCTATCACACTAATTTCCTATGACGATTAAAAATATAAATTTTTTGTTTAACAAATAAAAAAACACAAAATTAATTAATATGTGATAGAATATAAGATATGTTGATGTGTGTATGTAACAAATAATATAAAATTATAATAAAATAAATATTTATGCATATTTGATCAGTAATGATAAGGAATTTTTTGTGCGCGAGCCCGACTCGTACTTTTTTTTTCAATTGACTGCACTTGGCTATAATAGTCAATTTGCCAAGGTTGTCACGCAGTCCCTTGGTCACTAGTTATTAATAAAATACTGTTTGTCAGCAGATCAGCAATGCTACTGTATGTATTTTTAGCGCTGTCGGTAGCATGGCTTTACCTGAAATGGTCGAGAGTGAGACGTTACTGGGCGCGCCGCGGGGTGCCGCACGAGGATCCGTATCCGGTCCTAGGCAGCCTCACGTTCTTACAGAAGATCAATGTGGTGAGTGATCCACTAACATGATTTAGAAAATATTTATGGTTCATTGCAACCTTTATGAAAAATATAAGTATCGATATAGCAATTCAATTAAAAAACACCGATAAATGAAAAATACATTTACTTTCAAACGATTTTTATTCCTGTAACCTTTATTGCACAGATAATGTTATAAGCCTTTGTATACAAAGTTAAACATCTAGTCAAGGCAAAATAGGTACTCGATTGGAGAATTTGAAATCACCAATAAAATTTACTTTTATAGTGACAAGTTTTTATTATTAGATTACCTTTACAGATTTATAGGACTTGTGCAAATCCTAAGCAGCTGATACATTTTGTATTTTTCTTTAGATTTCAGAACGAATAAAGATGCCCGCAACAGTTTTTTTTATATCTGTTTCTCCCTCAGGCGACATGGATGCGTCAGATGTACGATCGTTATTCCAAGGAACCATACTTCGGCATCTGGCTGTTCTGGAGACCAGCCCTCGTGATCAACTCGCCAGAGATTGCCCGAAGGATACTCGTCAAAGATTTTGATGCTTTTAAAAACAGACTGGTGGGAACAAACACTGGCAAAGGTGATCCCATCGGGGGACAGAATATATTTACATTAAATGTAAGTGACGATCCAATTTTAATTTATAAGTTAAAAGAATATTGTACTGAATTAACAAGCTGATTTAGAACTTTGGGCAAAAATATTAACTGTGCAATAATAAATCATTGCTTTTAGATGTGTATATAATAATTTTAATTATAACTTTAATATATTTGGATATCTAATATTATTATTTCTCATGCTCCCCGATATGTCCCATGTCGACAGGATCCGTTGTGGAGTTCTGTCAGACGCCGACTGTCTCCTGTATTCACATCTTCGAAACTCAAGTTGTTGCATCATATATTCGCTAGCAAATCGAAGGAATTGGTGCAAAGAATCAAAAATGATCTTAATAATAATAAAGACATAGAGCTCCGGGTAAGTAAATATAAATTGGAGGATTAAAAATAATCCGAAACACGTTAAAAGAATAGAATAAAAGTCGCCTATATATGGCTAACATTGTGTTCAACTTGGGTTAAGTATTTTTTTATATAACCAAAGAATAGAAAATTATTGCACATTTTATTATTATACAAATAATTTTTTGCATTTTATGTGAAATAAACGCAACCTTTTTTATTGTCTTTGTTCGAAATCGCTTATAATGGAGAGAACATTATATTCAAAAAGTATAGCTTCTGTAGAGACTCAACATTTTAACATAGTGCAAAGGTACAAATATCGTTACAGTTCAATTAAAAAGTGCTCAATGCTGTACTAAAAGTACTATAGTTTCCCAATGGTATAACAATTGCAATGGTTCTAACAATTGCATAAGTTTACATTTTCATTTTACTTTTGAGTTACTATACTTGCTCCATTGTCATTTATTTACTAAAGATATATTTCGTTTAAGCATTTGTATGCAGATTACACGACAGATGTTATCGGTACGTCTTCGTTCGGAATCCAATGCGACACTCTATTGAAAGGGGACAGCCCTTTGAGGTCTGTCACTAGAGTATTTGAGAGATTCAGCTTTTTGAGGGGTGTAGCGTGGTGCAGTATCTTCTTCTTTCCGGAAACAGCAAATACGTTCGGGTATAGATAAACAATTACCTAAAAGCATGAAACATATTAATCTTTTTCGTCTAACATGTATGGAATATTATAAGATCTACTATTCGTATGTATGCTTTTATGCCTTTACACTTGTAGTTTTGGCTGTTAGTTAGACCGGGCTCGGTTACTAGTAAATAAATAAACGAGGGGAATAACACAGTCAAACTCTGGAACAGTTTGTCGCCAGCGGTATTTCCGGACCGATACGACCTTCAAACTTTCAAGCGTAGAGCTTACTCGACCCCCAAAGGCTGGCAGCGCGCTTGTAGCCCCTCTTGTGTTGCAGGTGTCCATGGGCGACGGTAATCACTTACCATCAGGTGATCCGTCTGTTCGTCTGCCCCCTATCCCATAAAAAAATAAGCATTTTAGCTTAAAGTTGTCATAATGGTTCCCTTGATAACTTTTTCATTTGTTCTTTTCAGCATCGCTATGAAAAAAAAATAAGAGAAAATAAGACTATTCAAAATTCATCTCCCCATCTATTGCATATCGAGAATTTTTGTTATTCCTCACTGGAGTACTATATTCTTTATTATGTTTTTACTTTCATGGTCACTATTTTTTTTAGATTCACATTTTTCCCAAACTCATCAGTTCAATATTTTAGAGATATCTATAAGCAGATGGTATCTCAAAGAGGTGGTTACAATTCTAAAGCAGAAGACAAAGATTTGCTTGATGCTTTGCGTCAGATAAAATATGAAGCAGACAAAAATAATGAAGGTACGAATATTACAAAAAAATATACCGTGCTTTTCAAACTTAAATTTGAAACAATATATTCAATTATATAGGCAAATTCACACTGTCAAAAAAGATGAGAGTCCATAAGGGACTTCTCCGGCTCTGAAAGATGCTAGAAAGTTACTTAAATTTTAGGTTGATCGCACAAATTAAAAATGTATAGTTTATTCTGAACATATGTAGGTATTTTAAATTTTCTTTAACAGTTTTCGTCCTATTCTGCTACTTGTTTGTTCTTTTAAAGACCAAAGGTTGCGACTATTGTATTTTTCTTCAAAATTTGACGCAATGTTTATGAGGCTAAACACAAAACACATAAATATAAACGTGTAACGCCATCGTGTTGATATAAAAAAAATTGTGATCAATCTTCGAAAAGAGGAACGATCAAACTGAAATTTAAGCAGCTTCGGTTTTCAATTCTTAAACATAGTTTAAAATTTAGAGTTTGACGAGCATGCAAAACCGTTGTTGCCTGCTTCTTTAGTCGCTCATAGTTCTCGTCACTCCCAACAATATTTGTATTTTTATAGTTATATTTATAGAATCATAGATTTATAAAAGTCCAAATTCAACGTTAAATGAGTTTGAGAACGAAATTATATTAAAAAAGTGAAACAATAATTAATTTATCGTTACTGTGCGCAGATATGAAAGAAGATTTGTTGATTGCACAAGCTGCTATATTCCTTCAGGCTGGTTTTCATACTTCTGCTGCCGCTTTAACCTTTCTAAGTAACGAATTAGCTTACAAGCCAGAAATACAGGTATGTTAATTTTCTATGCATGTACCATAGGTGGTTTTAGTAAATATTTTCCTTACGCTGCCTTTATATATAAAACATTAATATTGTACAATTTTTCTTGTCTATATACTCGTAAATCTATCACTGCTAATAAGTATCAATCAAATTTGCAGGAAAAACTGTTTAATGAATTATTACAAGCAAAACAAGCATTTGGTGATAAAGATTTAGATGCCAGTGTGTTCAGTGAATTAGTCTACTTCAATTGTGTTATTAAAGGTAAAATTTAATTCGGTGAACAAACGTGTATGTAAATTAAATTAGTTGAAAAACCTTACACGAGACAAATGACTACTATAATAATTAACAACATCATTAGTAATAGCTAAAGTGCTGTTTCAGTAATTTTACTTCGTCAAGAGTAAACTAATAATTCAATTTCAGAGACTTTAAGAAAGTATCCTCCAATGGGTTGGCTTGATAGAATCGCTGATAAAGATTACAAAATCGATGACAACCTCACCATTGCCAAGGGAACAACTGTCTATGTAAATGCAATGGGGATGCATCATGATCCTGAATACTATCCAGACCCTGACAAATTTGACCCTGACAGATTCCTCCCCGAAAACGATGACGGCACCAGACCTTATATGCCCTTTGGTGATGGACCTCGCATATGTATAGGTGTGTATATGCCGGTTTTTTTTTTACTTTTACTTTATAGAACCCGAAATGAAATGATTACAAATCCTGTAGTTTTCGTGCGTTGCATTGTATCTGGCTACGTATGCTATGCTATGTCAAGTCTGAACTGAATTATAGCTAACTTAATCTACCCTACTTCATCAGTTAAAAAACAATTTCATAGAACCCCTTTCCTTTTTTCCTACATCCAAATATGCAGCAAGATGTATCATTGGATAAAAATATTAAATTCCCACTACGGTCTCTGTTATTAGAGGTTATTTTACTATTTACTGTCTACTTTGTTAATAACGTTTCACGTTTACAAAAAAAAAACTGTTTGCTACATGTGCCGGTGCTGCTATCTAGCGACATAATGTTGCAATGATATGTGTTATTGTTACAGGCCTGCGTTTTGCGCGGCGCACTATTTGGTATGGCGCCGCCGCGGTGTTGATGAACTATAAGATTGTTCCAGTCTCCGGGACTCGAACGCCTGCGCGATGTCATGTTGACCACAGAGGACTACTGCTGTCACCTGGGGAAGAAACTAATATTATATTTGTACCTAGAGTATAAGCTTAATTCTTAAATAAAATTATGCTAAATTTTATGTTTCTCCTCAATATACCTGTTCCATATACTACACAATTATTTACACTAATACAAAGAGGAAAGATTTGATTTTTTTTTGTAATTTGTGTTGAATAGGCTACAAAGTTACTGGACAATTAAAAAAAAAAATTCGCGGAAAAATAAACAGTGAGTTAACAATAAAAAATATATAGTCATAAATGAACATCAGCATATTCATTGATAAAATTAATAAGTTTCAATAGCTTAAAGTAGCTAGAGTTATAGCTAGAATGTTAGGAGTCGGAATTTTAAGGTTTTTTTCTAATAAAAAAAAAGAATTTTGAAAATCGGTCAACAATTAGCGGAAAAGTCGATGAAGATACATAAAAAAATACATCGCCGTCGAACATAGAACCTCCTCCTTTTTGATTTGGAAGTTGGTAAAAAATTGTCTCTGGTGCGTAATACTCCAAACTTATGTCATTGCTATCTATATTATTGATGGGCGCGTTGATTTAGTAACGTTTTCTTTTTGGTTTTAGGAACATCTAAATGAAGGTCCATTGTGTTCGGATTGTGAATTTATCAGTCGATAATATCAAAACCGTGCCGGGAGTCCGACCAATGTTCGGATCTGTGTTGCGTAAACAAAGAGTGACGACGCGCCATATTGGTTGGATAGCCCTGTACTCGGCGACTTTCAGAAGTCCCACAGGGAAGTCTGCAGGGGCCTTCGATGTTTTCAATTTGTACATAATGTTCCTCTGCCGTGACAATCAAAATATAAGATAATTATTTTTTTATTATGAGAAAAAACGTACATGATACCGTATGGCTATAATTTTTTTGAGTGGACGTACTAAATGTGTGTAATTATACGAAGGTAATAAGACATCTGAATATGTGCTTATCAACATGCGATATTTAATGACAATAAAGTATCTGGTCGTTTTAAATAAAAATATCCTTAATTGAACACAATATTTGTTCCTTGGATATTTAACATTCGTTACAATAAATATATTGTAATTAATGACTACAAATATAAGCAAAATTGGTTTTATTATCTATATCAATTATATCAATTACACGGAACCTGTTAATTGTCCGAAACATCAATAAGACTAAATACAAACGAGATAAAACCGATTAAAAGTTGTTTCATTTATGGATAGTGCGCGTGAAAATATAAGAAATCAATATAAGCATGTCGAACAATTATATTTCAAAAACATATGTGTGTGCAATAGGAGTTGCGGATTATCTTGGGTTTATGCAGCCCAGTATCACTGCGACCATTGCTGATCTATTGTGATCTCCACATACTACAGTTCACGGTCAAGATTACATTCTACAAGGAACTGTAGTATTTTCTTGGCCGTAAGTTCTTTAATATCGTCTGGGTGCATCACGTGCTTTCCCAGATAGATACATCGTTTTCGCATTAGTGACGGGCAATCGGTCAAAATGTGCAAAGGTGTTTCCTCCTCCTCCTTGCATCCTCTGCACATTCTACTGCCGCTGATCCCCATATTGTACATGTGTCTGTTCAGTCCACAATGTCCCGTGAGTGCTCGTACTAGTGTGCGAAGGTGATTTTTGGTTAAGTTTAAGGCCTCTGATGCCGCCTTTTTGTTGAAGGTTTTAATCAGGGTCTTAGAGTGTTTCATACCGGGAGTGTTTCTCCATAGTTGAATAGCTGCGTAATGGCAGTATGTTTTCAAGGTGAGCTGGGTTAGGCTTTGAGGGATGCCACAGAAAGGTTCTGGTCCGATAAGGGCGTCTTTAGCACCCTTCTTCGCCAGTTTGTCCGCCTGTTCATTGCCCTCGTGTCCAGCGTGACCTGGAACCCATCGTAGAACTACTTTGTTTTTGTTGCCCAAAGAGTTCAATGTTTGTTTGCAGTTCTCGACCAGCTTCGATCTAGTTACGTCGGAGGCTAGTGATAAGAGTGCAGCTTGACTATCAGAGTGGATGTAGATAGTATGATTGAGGTAGTTGTTTTGCAGATTGGCTGCCGCACATTCCAAAATGGCGTACACCTCCGCCTGGAATATTGAGGAGTACTTTCCCATGTTCAGACTTATAGCCTTCCTTGGGGATTCTCCATAAATTCCACATCCTACCTCAGGACCGGATTTGGAGCCGTCAGTGTACCACTTTAGGCTTCCATTTTTCCATACTATACGATTGTTTGACCAGTCGTCCCTGGTGGGTATCTCCACAAGATATGACTTGTGTGAATCGACTCTCGGGGGCATGGTGTCAGTAGGCATCCCCAGAATTGGTATGTTGCATATTGAGTCCTTCAGGTACCTCAAATTACCTGACAGCCATGTCTTCGCCTCCATGCTGGTAATCCTGTACATACTAGCCCTCGCCACCATTTCAATATGTAGATGTAGGGGCGGTAGGTTTAGCAGAGCCTCAAGGGCAGCAGTCGGGGTGGAAGACATAGCTCCTGTTACTATAAGACAAGCAGTCCTTTGCAGACTGTTAAGTCTTGATATGATAGTACTCTGTGTCGTTTTTCTACTCCAAACCACCGAGGCGTAAGACACCATCGGCCTTATGATGGCTGTGTAGAGCCAGAGGGCTATATTGGGTTTCAAGCCCCATCTATTTCCCGCTAGCCGACAACATATCATCAGAGCTGTTTTAGACTTCTGTATAATTCCGTCTATATGTGCGTTCCAGGTAAGTTTCTGGTCCAGTGTTACCCCCAGATACTTGACCTCTGTCGAGAACGGAATGAGCCTCCCATTCATGGTCGGAGGCGAAAGCTTATCCAGTTTTCGTTTCCTTGTGAATGGGACGACCACGGTTTTGCCTGCATTAATCGACAGATTATTGTCTTTACACCATGAGTTAATTGTGTTCAGCGCCCTCTGCATAAGGTACGATAGCATACTTTGGCAGTTTCCTCTCACTATCACCACCAGGTCATCGGCATAGCCCAGGGTGTCAAAGCGGAGTTCAGCCATCTTATGGAGAAGCTGGTCCACCGCAAGAGTCCACAGTAGCGGAGAAAGTACTCCACCTTGCGGACATCCTCTTGTTGTTGCTAACTCTAGTGAATCGTTGAGTAGTTCCATCCTCACTGTCCTACTCTCTAGCATGGCTCTTATCCATCTTACTGTAGTGGAGTCAATCTCTTTATGGACTAATCCTCTTACTAATGTCTCGGTGGGCGTGTTATCGAACGCTCCTTCCACATCAAGAAAAGCAACGAGTGCTATTTCTTTATCGTCCAGTGCCTTTTCAACCTTGTCTATAAGGTTTAGTAGGGCAGTCTCCGTAGATCTGCCGCTTCGGTAGGCGTGCTGGGTATCATGTATGGGTTTATTGATGAGACTCCCTTGTCTGATATAATTGTCTAATACCTTCTCCATGGTCTTCAGAAGAAATGACGTAAGGCTGATTGGCCTGAAGGACTTTGGTGATGTATAGTCCTTCTTTCCAGCTTTAGGTATGAACACGACTTTCACCTTAGTCCACGGATCTGGAATATATCCCCAGGCCAAACTGGCTCTGAAGATTTTTACCAGATAAGGGATGAGATTGGCGGCACCCCGCTGTAAAAGCACCGGGGCTACGCCGTCAATTCCACCAGATTTAAAAGGTTTGAACGAGTTAATGGCCCATTTCACTATTCCAGGCCTAATAACGAGAGCGGCTCTTCTCCAGTCCTCTGGTAGAGGCCTTCGAAGAGTGATCGCTACTGCATTATCAGTAGATCCTGGAAAATGGGTGATAGCCATTAGCTGCAAGGTTTCCTTCTCGTTAGTCGTGAAGGACCCGTTCGGTCTTTTAAGGAGACCTAAGGGATTACAGTGTGCCTTTGCCATGATCTTATGAAGTCTTGCTCCTTGAGGCGTATTAGTTATCTCCTCGCAGAACTTCCTCCATGATGCACGCTTGGCTTTTCTAATTTGTTTACTGTATTCGTTTAGGGCCATCCTGTAGGCATCCCATTCATGGGTGATTTTGGCCCTATTGAATAACTTTCGAGTTTTCTCCCTAAGCTTTTTCAGCTTTGAGTTCCACCACGGTACTTTCCGTTTGGATGATTTGATTTTGGGTGTACAGCTAGCCTCGAAGGCATCTTTAATGCCATTAGAGACCGCCTCTACCGCAAATTCAATGCTCTCAACCGTTCTAATGCATTCAGGAATTACTTCTAAGTTCCGTACAAGGCGTTTGTTGTATTCATCCCAATCGGTGCGCTTAGGATTCCTAAATGCACTAGTATGTGTACTTAGTTCCGATGTTAGTTCTAAGCATATATGCCTATGGTCCGACACTGAGTTTTCGTTACTAACTCTCCAGTTTTCTACATGCCTGGCCAGGTTGTTAGTGGCGAAAGAAATATCTAGCACTTCTTGTCTCGTCCTAGTTACAAAAGTTGGTTCACAGCCATTGTTTAAAGTTTGAAGACAATTGGTTACTAGGTAATTGTTTAATAACTCACCTCTGTCATTATTATTAGTACTTCCCCAGTCGGTGTGGTGGGCGTTCGCATCGCACCCCACAAGCAGCTCAGCACGATGTCTCCGGGCGTAGTCGACCACGGGTGTGAGCTCAGCAGTTGGGTCAGCTTTATCTCCGGGCAGGTAGGCCGAGCACACGAGCACTCTGGGCCCGTGCCATCCCTTGAGATTGACAAATGCTGCTACAAGGTCATCTGTGCACAACTCTGTAACAGGCAAATAGTTAGTGTTTTTGCTGAAAACAATACACGCCCTGGGTTTCAAGCCATCAATGTTATAAAGCACCTTATCAGCGGCTTTGAGTCCCAGTATGGTTGAGTTATGCACCCAGGGTTCTTGAATTAGGGCAATGTCGACCTTCCGTTCTGCAAAGCACTGTTCCACTACTGCGGATGCAACGGCGTGTTGGAGGTTTGCTTGCAGAATCCTTGCCCGAGCCCCCTGGTTGGCCATTTTTATTTCCCCCGTTTGGCAGCTTTCGCGGCACCCCGTGATCCTCCCGCTAGAGGCGTT